GTGCTTGCCAGCACTGTGATATATTCAGGGATAGACGCTTTGCCAGTCAATTATAGCCTGTATTTAAGTGTCCGTAGATTCTAAAGTATAAAAGATACAGCCATTTCGGACCACAGGTCTTGAAGATAATTGTTTAGACTTTAGTTTACATTATGTTAAAAAGTAATTCAACGTCATCATCACCACTTGATGACGTCATCAAGTTAACCATTTTTAAAACTTGATTTTTCACAAAGTAATCATTTTTCAAATCGATTTTACGCCATTAAGGAGTAATTTTATTCAAAATTTGAGGGCATATTGAAGTTAGATAATTGTTTAAGCATTCTGAAAATCTACCGGAAAGTTTTTCTAGCTTGCTCCTTCATAAAGATATTCGCTATTGAAGTTAGTGCTTTTTTAAAGAATAATTTTATAAAAACGCTAATTTTACGTTCTAGTATTCTCTGGTGTTGCACCATCCCTTGGGTTGTGGAGCTCAATTTTGCTTCCTAAAGCTCTAAATTGTGTCATAGGCTAGTTTTAAAGTTGAAAATCGAAAAGTTGCACACGTGGGGACACGCCCAAATTGATAGAAAATTGCTAAAATCACTGAAAATTGCTGTTTTCACCAATTTCCGTCAACTTTGGAGTGCCGTTGTGATTACAGTTCTTCTTAAAATACTTTGAAACTTTGCATGCTTATCAAACTATATATAAAACACCATCATGCAAAAATTTACGGTGATTCAATATTGGATGCGCACGCAACTTCCGCTCAAGGTTTGCACGTGCGAAAGGTTAAAATTTTGCTCATTCGTGATTTTGAACAAATTCTGCTTTGCCACGACAGTTCAATGTCATTATATATGAATTTAATGCCAACTTCAATGAGTATAAAGTGGCATATTCAGTCAGTGATCGACCGATATGCTTACCTAAACACAAGGAAATGTTTTCAAAGGAAAAATTTCGAAATCGTTGAAATAACCTCCTTATTAATATTAATGAAGTTATGAGTTTACATTTCGGCTTTGTAAAGTACCCTGACATTATAATAAAAAAGAGATGATATTTTACCAAAACCCATAATCATGGGTAGAGTGGAGCGCTGCCAGTGTCTCTCTTTCCCAAACAAAAGGCAATGATATCAATTTGAATGACCGTTATCAAATGCAAAATGATACCGAGAATGAAATCGGTCGCTCGCTTTTCCCATTCATTTACAATTGAAATAGATTACATGTTATAAATCGAAACTTATTACAATTCGTAAGCCATGAATGAGTGGGAAAAGCGAGCGACCGATTTCATTCTCGGTATCATTTTGCATTTGATAACGGTCATTCAAATTGATATCATTGCCTTTTGTTTGGGAAAGAGAGACACTGGCAGCGCTCCACTCTACCCATGATTATGGGTTTTGGTAAAATATATAATATGTATGTATCCCGACAATCTGTCGTAAAACAGGGGTTCTAGAAAACCCATTTCCCGATGCTCCTGAAACTTGAAACTTTTTTTGCAGTCGATTTGGTCAACGTCTAGACGCCCTGAAAAATTTCAGATCTCTAACTTAATTTTAACATGGTTTTTAAGGCACCTGAATATGGCGATTTCGGGTTTTTTTACCGAATTTCGTATAACAGTGCTGGCGCGAATTTTATGCAAATTTCTTCAAAATCTCAACATAACTATTTCTTATTTCTGTCATCTTTGACATCAAATTAGAATGTTTTGAACTAAAAATAAATCTGCTGAACGACTTCCGATGAGTCTTAATGCCTGAAAAACTCCTGCCGGAGGCTTCCAACGTGTACCAAAGGGAGTGTAAAGGGGTTATAATAGTGAAGGGGGTACAATAGTAAAGGGGGTACATAGTATTCCCCCAATAAAGACACCGCTCGTGCTTGCCAGCACTGTGATCACGACAATATGTCGTAAAACAGGGGTTCTAGAAAACCCACTTCCCGATGCTCCTGAAACCTGAAACTTTTTTGCAGTCGATTTGGTCAACGTCTGTCGTCTAGACGCCCTGAAAAATTACAGATCTCTAACTCAATTTTAACATGGTTTTTAAGGCACCTGAATATGGCGATTTAGGGTTTTTACCGAATTTCGTATAACAGTGCTGGCGAGTATTTTATGCAAATTTCTTAAAAATCTCAACATAACTATTTTTATTCCTGTCATCTTTGACATCAAATTAGAATGTTTTGAACTAAAAATAAATCAGAAATCTGCTGAACGACTTCCGATGAGTCTTAATGCCTGCAAAACTCCTGCCGGAGGCGGCGGCCTTCAGCCGCCGCCTCCGGCCGGAGTGCACGCTTCGCGTGCACGAAAGAGGCTTGTAACGTGTACCAAAGGGGGTATAATATTAAAGGGGGTATAATACTAATAGTAAAGGGGGTATACTAGTAAAGGGGGTATAATTGTATATGGGGTACATAGTATACCCACAATAAATGCAACGGTGGTGCTTGCCAGCACTGTGATAGTCATAATTTTTAACGGCCAGGTACTGGTAGCGCAGTTGGTTAGAACGCAGTTGGTTAGAACGCCAGCTTTTCAATCGTGAGGTTGAGAGTTCGAATCCCACTGTCTGCCCATGGTCGTGGGGTGAGCGTCGTTGACGTTCAGCTAAGGATCCTGAGTTGTCTATGCAGCCTCCCGGTCTACTCAGCCAAATACTCGAGAAATCGGGCGTGAGGGTTAAATGAGGAGCTGCACATTGCAGCAAAGTCTCGGGCAAAGAAAGTCTGGTACACACTACCTTAACCGTCACTGGCCAAATAAATCCTTCGGCTTCCTGTAATTGGCTGGTTTAGGTTACCTGGGGACCCCAGGCTATTACTATTAGTATTATGTTCATAAACACGAATAAATATTCGGCGGAATAACAGGCTGAGCGCCGCCCAGTAATTGGCTGGTTGCACTTGTGTAACAATGTGGCTGTTGGAATACACCGAAGTGAAATAAATGTCTTGATAAAAATTATCAAAAAAAGGTATGAGATAATTAATCGACTACAACAAATAAGGTATTTCAAAAAAGTGCCAATTTATACAGCATAACTGATAACTCTACACTCGACAAATTAATTTAACACGTTCTCTAGGTGGCCCTAGCCCCTAACCCTCTACTCTGACCCCATCTCTAACTCTAACCCAATCCCTAGATGCACGCTCCAAAATACCAAATCGTAATGTCAGTACTAATGATAAATTCAGTAGGATCTGTTAAGAGATACATTGACGACGGAGCAGGTCAGTTTACAGGTACTACCAGACAGTTTTCAGCATGGATAAAGAAGGTCAACGAAAACATCGCTCCCGATGGCCTTGAAATAGATGAATTCCAAGCAGAAAATACAGCTGAATATGACAGTTTTCTAGATGTACAGTTTACTTTCGACCATCAAGGAGAGCTTCAAACTGATCTATACGTAAAAGAAACAGACTCCAGGTCCTACCTACATTTCAGCAGTAGTCACCCCAATCACATATTCTCAGGAATTGTATACTCCCAGTGTTTACGCCTTAGGAGGATAATCAATTCAAAGGAGAGGTTAGAGACCCAGCTTAACATTCTCAAACGGGCGTTTCATGAATCAGGATACCCTAGTAAAATGGTTGACAACATAGCTAACAAAGTCCTTGGCATGGAAAGAGTGTTAGTCAGGAAGAGTACGGTCGAGCCTAATGAACAATCCCCGCTATCAGCCATACCACATACCAATCAGAGTCATCTCCAGTTATGGAAGTGACAATGACTTGGTGAATGTTGTCCAGAAATACGAAGGTCACTTGAGACGAACTCGTAGTTTTAGTGAAAGTGAGAGTCAGCAAGCCACAAACTCCACCACAGCACCGAAAGGAAAAAATAAACTGTTTCAGTTTGTGAAGAAAACGGGATCTACGCTTAGATCTTGCCTCGTTACATCTAAACAGCTTGCCTTATAGGTGCTAAACATGGTAAGCTGAACCCTGTCACAGAAGAAACTGCAAGTGTTGTAAAATGATCATGAGTAAGGACCCCATCACATCAAATGGTAAAAAGATCAAATCAGCCCCTGGTTGTTGCAAGACCTATAACATCATCTATCTTGTACAGTGTTCGATTTGTAAGAAAAACTATGTGGGTAGGACTATTAATAGCTTGCATAAAAGGATGGACGGACACAGGTCCAAATTTTATGAAATCATTGATGGTAGAGCATTTGATATTACTAGTGATGAGTATAGCCTAGGAGTTCACTTGATTGACCACGGTTTAGGAGTACATACAGATTTTAATGAAACTTTTAGAACTTTTATTTTAGAGAATTGCAGTCCCAGTACACTTGAAGTAAAAGAAAATAACTACATACATTTGCTTAATTCTCTTAGACCTTTTGGCCTTAATACTGTCAATCCCTTTGGATTACCTATATTCCATAAACCTTAATATGATCTTTTTACCTTTTTCGGATTCTTAATTTTGTAACGGCTTGAGTTTCACTAACCTTTTAACATTTTTTAGGTTCAATGTCACTGGAGATGACTACAATCGAAATATATTTGGCAAGAATCTGAATGTTTTCAGTGTTGAAAGTTTAGTTTCTTAAATCCTGGAGTAGTCATTCGTGTCCCTGATATTTGGGTTAATTCTAACTCTCCCATGATAAATTCAAAATTAACAAATTTAAAATCAATGTATTCCACTTCCAGATTCTAATTATATGTAAAATCATCAACTATGGTTCAGGTTACCTTATCGAACTTTATTTGAACGGACGCTGGAGGCGCTATTGTTCATTTTAAGGTCTGTTCAAAATTATGTCCATTCACGCAATGTCCAGTCAAATAACGTCCGATAAGTATATCATATTTACTTTTAAATTCTACTTTACCATCTTCTATCAACAATTTCAGTTCAAAAGCGGACAGAGCATTTTTTATAACGTACAGGAAATGGTGAACAAAACCATATAGTCATACCATATGGTCCTACTATATGAAATAAATGATATATTCACTACCGTCTAATCACTACTGATATATCAAACATCATACTCCATACTCCAATTTGAATAATCTCTTCACCTCCACAAAATATTGTGATTTTGCATCACTTGCTGGTTTTTCTGAACTTTTCTAAAAGAGAAAGTTTTTTTGGCTCAGCCATTGATAATCGCCGACTGTTTGATTGAATGTTGATAACCCTCGATTCGTGAACTGAAAAAATGCAAATTGTCAATAAATATAGATCTGGATTCTGATGAACCATATTTTTCCTAACACGTGACAGCAACTTTTACCAATCAACTTCCAACATTGACCAATCAAATCCCAGAAGCACTGTCACGTGTCAAAACAAATATGTTCACCTTCCCACCGGAGTCCACATCTATGTATAAAACTGATTGTGTGTTCACTGTTCTATAAATCATAAGTAACAATTTTAGCTGCTTAATATAAAATACCTGTCGGTGTTTTCATGGTGAAAAAATGTGGTTTATCGAGAGTCATCATATTGGGTTTCTCGAGAACGTATTCCTTTGTCCGAGGCAGAGTCGTGTACGAACCTGGCAAGTGAAAATTGTATAATTGTCGCGCTGGAGGGGGGGGGGGGTACCAACGGACATTAATGGGCATTAATGGGCATTATATTAATGTGCATTCCAGGAAACTACCGTGGCATTTCACTGGCACCGGTTGCAGCGAAAGTTTTTAACAAGCTCATCCTCAACCGGATCTACCCATTCATTGATCCCCTCTTGCGGCCAAACCAAAATTGTTTCCGTAGAGGAAGATCCACACTCCCACAGGAGTCCTTGCTCTACGTCGTATACTCGAGGAATGCAAGATCGGAAATCGCTCAGCCGCAATTGTGTTTGTCGATTTTTCGAAAGCGTTCAACAGCATTAACCGGGATGCCCTTTTCCACATCCTCTCCCTCTACGGTATCCCTGCTCCACTTGTAGATGCTATCAGGCTTCTTTATGACTCATCGTTCTCTCGTGTCTAGACCATCGACGGCCTTACTGACTTTTCAGGACACTTATTGGAGTTCTTCAAGGGGACACTCTAGCACCCTTTCTCTTCGTCATCGTTCTTGATTATGTCCTCAGAAGCTGCATGGGTGAAGAATTCGGTCTTACCATCATGCCTAGGAAAAGTCGAAGAGTGCCTGCGGTAAAAATCACAGACCTTGACTTTGCTGATGATTTGGCCTTAATTTCAGACACCATAGAGCAAGTCCAACTTCTGCTGACAGACCTTGAAAATGCAGCCGCACAAGTTGGTCTTGCTATGAATGCTTCTAAGACCGAGTTCATGACCATCAACATCCCTGACACTATCGACTTACATTTCATCTCAGGCCGCCAGATTAAACAGGTTGATGACTTTAAATACCTCGGCTCTTTCATTGCGGACAGTAGAAAGGATTTCAACACAAGGAAAGGAATGGCCTGGTCAGCCTGTATTAAACTGCAAAAAGTCTGGTCCTCTGGCATTTCCGAACAACTGAAAGTCAAGTTCTTTAGAGCCTGTGTCGAACCAGTATTGCTCTATGGATCAGAGACATGGACCATAAACAAGCAGCTTGAGAAGCGCCTCAGCGGATGCTACACCCGTCTTTTAATGAAGGCCAAGAACATCTCGTGGAAGAAGCATCCAACCCTCAAGCAGATCTATGGCAACCTTCCATTTATTGCCTCAGTGGTTGCGTCGAGGCGTTCCAGATTTGCTGGGCATTGCATGAGAGCTTCTGACCAAGTTATCTCCTCTATCCTCCTCTGGCGACTTGCCCAATCCGGCCGTGGAAGGAGACCACTCACCTTCCTGGACGTAGTAGCTCGTGACACTGGGCTCCAGTTAGACGACCTTCGAACTGTTATGTGCGATCGAGACGTGTGGAGGCAGACAGTGAATGGGATTTCGATTGAGGATCGCCCAAATAAAAAGTAAGTAATTTGTATTAATGGGCATTAATGGGCATTAATGGCAATGGCAGCCTGAGCAAAATTTTAAAATACTGCCATTAATGTCCGTCGGTACCCCCCGTCGCGCTTGTTGTGTCTTAATGTTGGCATTAATCACTTATTCTAACCCTAACTTTTATTATTTATTCAGATTGCAAATGGATCCATCATGGTGCAACTTTGCAAAAATTACTAAATATCAGATTGTGCGAATGGTTCTAAAAAGATGTTACCTTTCTGGTCGGGGGAAATCTCCTGACTTAGTCTCCGGTTAACAGCTGCCATCATTACGCTTGGTTTCCTTGATCTGGCTGAGCTGATCGTTGCTAATCTGCTCACTGCTCTGTGGAGAGATTTATACGTGAGTCAATTCATTCAAATGAATAAGCTTTAAAACTTTTTTTTCACAGCCATGTTTCTAGAAACATATCATAACGAGGAGTTTTCGTCGCAATGAAGTTGCCGTTACCATGAAGTTGCCATACATAATAAAAGAGAAGAGCAAACAACTTATATTGATAACACCTGGAGGTGAAGGTTGATATATTTGGAATCAGTTTTGACTTTTGACTCGGACATAGGAGACGGTCACATACTTAATCTGCTTAAATCAAATTGTGTAAATTCAATTTACTAAATTGTATAACATACATTCCATAATGCGTGCGAGTCACTGAAACTGATTAGTATATAAACAAACTCTGTTCGTGTAAACTTATTCGTTGGTTCCTTATTCAAGCAGGAAAATAAAAACTGGATAAATTGCTTCCACCAAACCAACAGACCTAGTCTAGTCCTAGAGAGCTCACCGTGAAATTGATACCCAAAACTATATACATTTGTAAAAGGCTTTTGATGAAATATAATGATATTAGCAATTAGCATGACAGCAGCGCATTTAGTTCCATATCTAAGATATTCAATCGGGCGACACGATTTCAGAATGCAGATATTAAACTTTCTCACCTGACAACTTTGTCTGAGAACCTGTATTTTTCTTGAGAGTAAAACACTTGTTTGTGACTCATGTCCCTTGAGGTTATCGAATCTGCAGGAACGTAATATATTATTATTATGAAAATTAACAGGATTGTATAAAATGAATATAGTATAAAAAGGAATAAGATTGACAGATAACAATTCTCCATTACACGGATAGTTTATTTTAAGGTAGATTGAAGAAATAATACTTAATCTAAAATTTAGATATTTTAAACAAAATAATAGAAGTTTTGTCAAAAATTTCTAATTCAATTAATGATGACCTGATATAACTGGGGAGATGAAACCGTATCTCAACATAAGTTGACTCGTTAATTCACCATCACATCCTTTATCTATCATTGATAACAACATGTTACCTGAAACAGTGAAATAATACACCGCTGGATTAAAGCAGACGGCTCATATGCATTAAAAATAACGAGCAAAATCAAATGAACTATTGATAGAAAATAAAAAAGTTTTTGAGAAAATAACAGCTATAAACGAGTAAAATGTTGCTCCAAACTCTAAGAACGTTATACAGTATACTTAATATCAAATAATTAAGATATGTCACCTTCGCGATTGCATGATTTTGACTTTCGTTTTAACATTAATTCTGTTAATTGGGTCTAACTCTACAAACGTACCAGCAATATAAATTCTCCCCGACTCAGTACTATTAGGAGTACTTCCTCCGCTTGAGCTCCTCCGGAACCTGGCGGTTAAACCCAGGGTACTGGAGTGAGTGGAGGAGGTACTGAGTCCTAGAGGGTCACCGTCACCGCCGCTGCTGTGTCTGCTTCCTCGTCTGCTGTGGTCCTGCATCCTCCTGTTTAAGGAAGGGATGTTATTCGGACTGTAGTTCCATACTTTCGGTAGCCAGATTCGGACCATGGTTGTGTTCAGATGAAAGTCGTTTTGCCGGATAAATTACACAGACGGGATAAGAATTTTGACTGTGGTTAGTATTTACGGAGGACTGTCTGTCATCTGTGTAAATAAAGGCCAAATGGGAGATAAGAGAGCTGCATTATAAAGTGATATTGATAATAGTGAAGGAACAAACATTACCTCAAACAAATATCTTTTGCTATTTTAAAAGTGTTTTCTCTGCGAGGGGTTGCTTCTTTTCTCTCCTTATTATCACGTGAAAACTTGTACAACACTGTGTCGCTCACGAACTTCTTGATAAATGGATACACTGCAAAAAAGAGCGAAACAGTTGCACTAGTTATCAAATATCACTATGTCATTGTGTCAAATAATATTTCATACTCAGAAATGTGCCGGTGCTCACCGCTCTGGAAGTTCCATTTTAAATATAAGTTGTACCAATGTACCGTGCTGGATTTTGTACTTAACTTTAAGAGTAGATGAAAACCACAACTAACCAGGTTCTATTATTTTGTTGGAGAAGAGAATTTCTCTGCAAAGGAAAAGTCCACTCTCGGGTGTGTTGCTCCAGCCATTGTCGACTAACCAGGTCACCATGTCGTTACCGAAGAAAGAATTTGGTTCGGCTAACCTGAAATGATTTATTATCTTTTCGCTGATTTGTATGGAAACGAACCATGATAAAAACATGTTATTAATTACTCGCACTCAAAATTGCCTTCACTCACACTGTATACTGATACGGTCATTGGTCAAGATTTAAAAATCCAGAAATTTGACACCATGGGGAATTCGATTCGGCATTTATCAAATGGACAATTAATTGATAAAACTTAAGTTTGGTGACTACCAACCTGCCTTATAATTATAAAACTTATTTAGATCATGACTGACCTCCTGCTGCCGATTATCTTTGTGTGTATAGTCTTGGGATGTGGTGCGTTCTTACACTCTCGATACAATTTCTGAGAAACACATCATTTCATGAGATTATAGGATTATTCGGAGAGTTGAATGTTGGTTATTTTTATCTGGTCAACATTGTATTAATATCATGGGTCTAATCTGGAAATACCTTTTACCTTCTGCTAGTGGAAACAGGTTATCCAAATTTGATTAAGCGTGACCGTTATTGCAATATGCAGAGTACATGCATCCTAATAAAGGAAAGATCTGGAATACTATTATACTTAAAACAGATATAGGATTTAAAACCCTTGCCGCGGATTTCAAACCCAGCCCTGGGGTGTCATAGAAATCACGAGTTTAAGAATTACCTCAGTAGAAGAACGAATATCACGCATGACCCGTCTTTTATGAGAGACTGCGCAAATCAGAGGTTTTCTGTCTTCAAACTCGATCACTGAATGATCTACAGCGGTTCTAGCGAATAAACGTCCAACATCCATGTTAGGTTATTTTCTGTGGTATTACTATAAGCTATCTGTCAGAGCAAAATAAAGGCAAAAATAAAGGCATGATATTGTGTAACTGTAACTTATTAAGTGCCTTCGAACTTATATTATTAGGACTTGAAATTGAAACTTTATATTTACGTGAATTGAGCTAATTACTTGATTTGATTTATGAATTATTCGAAAATGCAAATCGAAGTTGATTTCCGATCACTACATCGATCGTTGCATCCCTAGAAGCGAATGGTTCATGGTTGGCTGTGGAAGAAATGAGTCAAATTTTATGTAACTTTTTCTTGTCATAGATTTGTTAAAATATAAGCAATTTTTCCTTTGATAAGTTTTTTCGGGAACTTACAAATTTAACCCCAACTCAGCAACACTGTTACAACTTGCTTAAACTGCTCTGTTAGTTTTTTAAACTTTTAAATATGCAAAGGAAAACCGACTAACCACTCGTTCGAAAAGTTATATATCGCATCATTACAGCTTAAACTGCCATGGTTTTTAGTTTATTAACAGACATGCACGAGTCTGAAAAGTTATACTAAAATACAATACTTTAAATGTTCAGTGAACACCAATCTTATACTATAAGATGAGTAATAACTCGTGCCTGTGCAACTGAATTGACACTGTTAGCGCTGCACCTGCATCAAGTTGGAATTACTGAATAGAACAAGGACCACCCTAAAACGACACTTAACTAAGTAGACTGACTTAACATTATCAAGTACAATTACGATTTACTCAACGGTTGAAACACCAAACATCGAGACGTCAAAACATTTACAGAAACTTGATCGCTCGTCGCTAGATACAACGTTATCTGTAATGCGACTGAAACTTGATCGCCCGGTTTAAATCAAGTTTGATTTTCGAATTATATGGACGTACGTGGGATACATTTTTGTAAATTTTTGTCCGTAGACTGAACAAATGATATACAGTTCTATGATAATGAATTGAAATGATAAGTTTATACACCACTAGTAGCTAAATCACTACTGTTAGTTATAATAATGGTCGCCTAAATAACATACACTAGAGATTAATTAAATTAACTTTGAAATCATGGACACTAAATCGTGTTATATTATTAACTGTTAAGTGACTAAACTGATATAGTTAACAAATAATGACTATCGAAAAAACGAATAATTACTGCTCACAATATATGTCCTGAATCCTCCCACTTATAAATTTAATAATATGATTGAAAAGTGACGAAAAAAATTAATTCAGGAACTTAATAATAATACAGCATGATCAAATCAGCTTTTACTCTAGCAATGTTACAAGTTGAGTGATAAGAAAGCAAATTCTAACACTATTGTTAAATTAAAACTAAAAACTTTAAAACTGTATCTACAAGGACGATATTTGGTTAAAATATATGAGGCACAGTGCACACCACCGCAATACCCCTACCAACCACAACCCCCTGAGTTGAGAGAGTTGGATCCACCTTGAGGGTACATATTATTATTAGTAACTTCCCATATTATTACATATTCCTAATAAGTCCGGTAATTTAATCACACATCTAGTCCTCCTTTTCGACGAGCTCCTTTGCGGCCCTCTTCTCTGCCCGTGCTTTCTTTGCTTCCTTGTTTTGTTCCTTCCTGTAAGGACGATTCTTATTAATACAGAGAAATAGATTGAATATTGTATAGTATGCATGTATTGGTTATTAGTTAATGTTTTGCAGTGTAGGTTTGGATTCACAATATATTTCAAACAGTAAAAGAAGCAAGTCAAATTCCTGTCAATAATATTTGATAGGGTATGATGCATCAACATTTTAGGTAGCAATTCAGTCTCAACAAACTGGGCTGCTACGGAGCTGAATTTGACTTTTTTTTTCGGCCAAGCAAATGCCTAAACTTTTAGCGTCACCACCTCCCCATCCGTAGTCAATTCACAAGGGAAAATATTAAAACCTTCAACACCCCACTACTCTCCTACATATTAATACCACAAAACGTTTGAACTCTTTCCAATTTCTTAAAGATTCTGAACATTGACGACAGTTGAACTTGAAGGACACAAGAACTTGCACCAACATTTTATCACCTTTACAGTCTACTCGGCACTTGACAGACCTCCCCAAACAAACTGACAGCCAGACTAATCGGGTTCTGTCAACCTGAACAATTTGTACATTCCCAAAAAATCGCTAGAACGTGCAATTAAGCAATTAGTCTGGAGGTTTTGTTTGTAGCGATATCTACACGGTGATTGACAAGGGCAGAGCAGGATGCATATTAGTTCCAGGATTTGCATGGCACCCACTCGGATGTACAGCACTAGGTTACGGGCGTGCAGCACTAGGTTACGGGCATGCAGCATTAGGTTATGGGCGTGCAGCACTGGGTTACGGTCGTGCAGCACTGGGTTACGAGCGTGCAGCACTGGGTGACGGGCGTGCAGCACTGGGTTACGAGCGTGCAGCACTGGGTTACGGTCGTACAGCACTGGGTTACGAGCGTGCAGCACTGGGTTACGAGCGTGCAGCACTGGGTTACGGTCGTGCAGCACTGGGTTACGAGCGTGCAGCACTGGGTTACGAGCGTGCAGCACTGGGTTACGGTCGTGCAGCACTGGGTTACGGACGTGCAGTGTGATGTAATATTACGTCGGATAAGAAACCGACAAGTGTCAATCAACAGACCGAAAAATATGAACCAGATACTGGTTCGCTCCAAAAATTGAAATGTACATGTCTCCGTAAAATGACTTATTATTCTCAAAATCTATTATCTATGTGAAGAAGTGTAGTTTAGGCACAAAACCGCTTTTGTTAAAAGCACTTTTCAAAGACTTTGCTAGTGGACGGTTAAAGAAATACGGATTATTTTTTACCTCTGTTGCCAGAAGTTGTCAGCCTTCTTCTGGGCTAGAGCCACTTCTTTAGCTTGGTGTCTCCAGCTGAGTACAGTTTGTACAAACTTTCCTCCCAGGTAGATTTGCATAGTGAGTAGAATCAGGAGAACCACCGAACTAAGGAGTCAGTAAGTTAGTTTACGATTTATATTCGTGAAAAAAGTGAGTACATGATAATAGCCGTAATATATAGTTATGAGCTGCTTTAGTTAGAAGGGAGCTAGAATAATGTAAATGTAACTGCTTACCAAGCAACAAATCTGAGTTGACTAATCTCATCAGGTGTTTTACCCCTGAGTTTGAAGAAGGTCACAACTGTAAGGGCAGCGATAGCATTACGTGCGACGACGAAGGCCACCGACCATAGCCTGGAAAAGTATGATTTACAATTTTGTTGTCACATGAATCATCAATAGCATTTTGGCTCAGTACTTACGTTTTAGCTTAATCTATTCTATTTTAGGACCATTGTTTATTATCGGTTGAAGTTTGAAAAAGATGTACAAATGGTACATAAAATATTTTCTCAAACCTGTAGAGGGGCTGCGCCAATTCACCGTTCCCGGAACATTCAATAACATCAGATAGAGCTTTCAAAACTTCGGCAATACAGTGTATAACGAGGATAATCGTGGCGGGGTAAACCAACCTGAATTATTTTTACTTTAATTTCGTTATGAGAATGGAGAAAATTTTTGGATTATAACCACTACACGTATGAATCCTTGCGCAATGCACACGAAAGTTGAAACCCTCTCGCTATGCAGTTTGCTGTTTACAGTGATGAAGTGGCATTTTACCTCACGTTTCATGCTTTCTAAATTGTAGGTTTTAGATATTTTAAATCAGCAGTATCTGCAGAAATGAAACCATTTCGTATTTGCTGACGTTTCCTGACGTACGCAGATATATTGCACAATAGAACAGTGCGCGCGTTGATTGCGCGCGCAAATTAGAGAATGCGCCACTTTCAAGTCCACGAAAAGAACCTGGCGCGTGACGCAAAGTATCACTAGAACTGACACGTCCACGTGTAAAGTAAAGAACGGACTCTAGCAGAACAATTGGATACTAGGTATGTCGGATAACAGCGGAGTTAAAATATTGAAGTTAATTGCAAGGGCATGGCTTCCTAAAGCACGGCAGAAATAAGCAGGTATGCGGATGTTCCAGACGCCCAAAAAGTTTCCTGATAGTCAGGGCGATATATGACGTATAGTAGTAAATAGGGAAGGATCCAAGGATTGTTGATCAGTGATAAATTGTCGCTTTTAGGATATCAGCGAAGCTCTACAGTAGCGACAAATGTGTTTCTTTTGCTAGGACCAAATTTGTCTATGAGTAAATTCTGGAGAGGTATTTTGAGAGTGATCATGGAAAGGAAACTCTGACTAATTTGATTATTTTCTTCATAATAAGAAAGTGGAATATCCAGAAATTTCCTTAGTGAAAATCAAGGTTATGATATATGAAATAAGTCAATGAGTAGGATCTGGGCGCGATCCAAGCAAAAAAGGAAGCAGAGGTTTGTGAATCCAGAAATGAAATTTGGATTCCCCTTACCCAGTAAGATAAGCTCCAAGAATAGGTATAAGGTAAGCTGTGTATCCAATAATCTTATCAGGCATTTCTTCCTGAAAACAGAAATGAGATATTAAAGACAGGAAACTATTAACACGATATCAAGTTTTAAAAATGCTGACTCAGGTTTTTAACGTTGACCTAATCTTTAAAGTTTCTTTTTCATACTGGTTACTGAAACTCATTCTTGTAACTTAATACCACCAATTAATTGATAAACTTATCAACATTCAATTAATTAATTAATTAATTCACTGATTCATCATGTTATAACTCACATCTTTAACTCTCATGAAGTACATTTCGGGATACTGGTGAAGGACGAATGCCATAATCAGGATCCAGTAGAATTTCATTAACATTGGCATGCTATCCGCAGGAGTGTGTTCCCAAATAGACGACAGGTTGTAGACGAGATCCTCCTGAAAAAAGGGAATTTTATTTAGAGAAATAAAATTACAGTTGAACTAATTCTTAGTTCTTAGTTTTAAGCTAATTCAGTGATTGTATCAATCGTTGATGATTAAAGAGCTAAAGTTCAG